GATGACTCACCGTCACATTTAGGAGTAACCTTTGACCCAAGACTCACATGGAGAAAACAGAAAAGACACAGAGCAAGGGACTCAAGAGAACACAACTGATGAGGAAGTTAGCTGGAACAGACTGGGGGGCAAACCTCAATGTCCTTAAGAGGACCTATACAGGCTATGTGAGGCCAACACTAGAATATGGAATAGCTGCTTGGGGCACAGTAGCTAAATCAAATTTTCAGAAAGTCTCAAAGATCCAAAACCATACTCTCCGTATTATGACAGGGGCAATGCGCTCTATGCCCAATCAGATATGGAAACAATTACTGGTCTCCATAATCTGGAAGATAGGAGAGACATAAAGCTCCTTACCCAGCTCTCCAAATACCACCACTTTCAAGAACAACCCATGTACAGCCGACTGCAGAAGCCCCAGAAGGCTAGACTAAAAATGCCAAGCTCGCCGTCCTTAAACTCCCTCCCATAATACCAAATGTTCCACTTAAACCTTACAACGACTGCCCTGCTTGGCTTAGGGATAGCCTACCAACAGTCAGAACCACTGTAACAGGGGTCTCCTCCAAATCATCAATGAGCAGCACTGATATGAAATCAACTACAGAAGGAGAGATCAATAGACTTTATCCACACCAGAGTTGGATTCGAGTGTATACAGATGGTTCAGCCAAGAGAGCAGTAAGAGACGGAGGAGGAGGAATATACATAAAATGCCCAAATGGTTTAAAAATCAACCAGGCTGTACCAACAGGTTCATATTCCTCCTATTACAGAGCAGAGGCAGAAGCACTTCTAGCCGCATGTTCTTTCCTGAATAAACAACAGCACAGCAAATATAGCAGAGTGGTCTTTCTGACTGATGCTATGTCAGTTCTACAAGCAATTATTAATCCAAAAGACACTCATTTTGTAGACTTGACGCAACAGCTGATTTACTTAGGCTCTTCAGTAGAACAATCTGTACTGCAGTGATTCCAGGTCACTGTGGCTTGGAAGGCAATGAAATAGCGGACAGATTGGCCAGAAGCGGCAGTGACATGGTACAACCAAATAGCGACTGGATACCCACACCAGATTTTCTCGCCAAGACTTACTTCATCGCCTCTCTAGAGAGGGACAGTGTATTATATTCAGACTAAGGACAGGGCACAACAGATTTCGTCAACATATGTTCAAATTTTTTGCTGTAGGAAATACGGAGATGTGTCCCAGCAGGGTGGCACCCGAAAATGCTGAGCATGTGCTCCAACACTGTCAACTGGATGCTGACAGCAGAGACGCAATCTGGTCTGTTCCAACCACACTGAAGACAAAACTGTATGGTACACGAGAAGATATGGATTGCACAATAGCTTTTATAAAGGCTACCGGCCTCCTGATATAATTTCTGACAGAAGGATCGAAGAAGAAGAAGAAGAAGTAGTCCACATTTTACACATGACTGAGGCCCTGTTAGGATATTTGCTTGGCTGCCATAATATCGGGTAGAAGTTCGGAGGAGAGTCAAATCGACTAATTGGGAGCTTTCTTCAAAGTCGAAGTGCATCTGGCTGAAAGGTAAGGAACCAACAGTCTGCATAAAAATTAGATCTGTCAAACGGATGCACACGCAGTACCACTCAAGATCTGGAATAGGACTGCAGTCCAGAAGTGGACGAACAATCAGAACTTTCCGCCAGAGTTACAGCTGGTGAACGCCAAGAAAAAGAAGAATAATTTTGAAAACTTTAATTAGCAATTATTATAACATTTATAACTTAAGATTGAAAAATCCATCCATGGAATATAAATAAACGAACATAGGGGAAACCATAAGGCCGCAGGAAAAAAATATAAATATAGTAAACAAACAAACAACGTATTGAGTATTGATGATATCGGCACTCATCAGAAGATCAATAGAAATATTAGAAAATATAATAAAAAACAATTAAAAAATAAACACTCTCATTTTTAATGTCATACTTTAGCTCGTTTACGCCTGCTTCTACGTCCAGTATCATTGGTTGCATGGCTTTCTTGTTCTTCTTCGTCTGCAGGTGCAGATCTTTTAGCATTTTCAGCAGTGGACGCTTCTTCTTTCTTCGGCATCAAAGTGGTAACTTTCGCTGTTTGCTGCGACGACGCCATTGTTGCTAGTCAACTTGCCGGGTAGTGCTCGCATTTCCATGTTAAATTACTCTTAGCGTACAGTTTCTTCTTCTTCGCGTTCACCGGCTGTAAACTCTGGCGTAAAGTTCTGGTTGTTCGTCCACTTCTGAACTTAAATATTTTTTCCAGAACTTAAGTTTGTATGCACACCCGTTTAGCAGATCTGGCTTATTTGTAAGCTGACTGCTGGTTTTACTCGAGTCAAGAATGGGACGCAATTTTTCGTTATTTTAAAGTCCCATTGTGGTTGCTATAACCCAATGGTTGCACGGGGTTTCTATGACCTGTTGTACCCGGGTAATCTCATCCAAATGGTGGCACTTTGTGTCACCAGGTGTTAGACGCTCGTTGTACGGTCCTAATGGGGGTTGCACGTCACCCACACATACACACTGTTGGTTCATCGCCTATCAGGCAGATAAATGCACTTGGACTTAGAAGGAAACACCCCTAATTAAAGTTGTGACATACTTGTTACGGGAGGCGGGGGGAGGGGGGCTTAATTCAAAAAGCTCCAAAAATGAAATGGGAACTCAAAAGACACTAAATGTCCTAACTGCAACCCTGAGGGTTGAACATGATTTTTTTATAATACTACTACTACTACTACTAATTACTAACTAACTAGTAACCTACTACTACTACTAATTACTAACTAACTAGTAACCTAATACTACTACTACTAATTACTAACTAACTAGTAACTTACTACTACTAGTACTGCTAACTACCTAATTACTACTACTACTAACTACTACTACTAATTACTAACTACTGCTTCTAATTACCTAATTACTACTAGTAACTACTGCTACTACTCACTACTTCTACTACTACTAACTACTGCTACTACTAATTACTACTACTACTAGTTACTAACTAATTACTACTACTAACTAACTACTACTTCTATTACTAACTACTACTACTACTACTACTACTACTACTACTACTACTACTACTACTGCTACTACTGCTACTAACTACTGCTGCTACGACCACTACTAACTACAAACTACTACTAACTACTAACTATTGGTACTGCTGCTGCTACTACTGCTACTAGCTGGAAAGTACATGTGTCACGCTGCTGAATATATATCTGTGATATCTGTTTGTTGGGAAGTATACCTGTCATGCTGCTGAATGTATTTTTGTGATATTTGTTTATTGGGAAGTATACCTGTCATGCTGCTGAATGTATTTCTGTGATATCTGTTTATTGGGAAGTATACGTGTCATGCTGCTGAATGTATTTCTGTGATATCTGTTTATTGGAAAATATACCTGTCATGCTGCTGAATGTATTTATGTGATATTTGTTTATTGGGAAGTATACGTGTCATGCTGCTGAATGTATTTCTGTGATATTTTTTTGCAGACATATAAACCAAAAACTGAGAAAGTTATACACTATGAAACATTCTTCATCTCTAAAAAGCTGCTTTTGTCTGGGCTATTCTATGCTGTTGACCACATCACCTACCGAGTGCCGACTGGTCTATAAAATACAGGTCTAGCCCTATATGCCCAATTCTGACCAAAATTGTTGGGGGAAAAAGGGGGTGTGTAGGTCTTATCTAATCGGGAACCACTGCTGTGTGGAACTGAAAGGGCTGTAATAGCAAGAACTTGGGACTGAAAGAGTTAAGACCAACATATCATCCATTTTTAGTACATGCTGGACTGATAAAAGGATATGAGTGCAAAGAAACAGATTATAAACAGCACATTCATTCTAACACTGAGCCACAAGAAGCCAAATATGGACACTGTATAAGGCTCATATGTGCAAAATTGCCACTTGTGAGATGGGATGCCTGAGAAAAAACCCCAACTCAACCATCCAAGATACTGTCAGACAGATTGTAGGAACAATAGCTTGTACTAGATTCAGCGAGAGACAGCAGTTCAAGTGGTTTGGCCATCTCGTTAGAGTGCAGCTAGATCAAATACCATCACAGGCAAAACATCTCAGAAGATCAGCAACAATAGAAAGAGGACAACCACACAAAAATGGATTGACAACATTAAAGACACTTCACCCCTTCAAGACATGACAACAGTCAGTGCCATCCAGCCTGCACTGGATCACAAATTTGTTTCTCCCCATGACACTTAATGGAAGAAGTGGTTTATGATGATGATGATGATGATGATGGACAGCACTAGATAAGTCTTACTTTCATTCTCTTCCGGGTCACTTTGCCCTTCTTAACTGGGGTTCCTGGCAGAAACTCTGTGGGTAAACTGTTGACTTTTAGTTTCCGTTTACCAGATGTCACTGAAAGACATAAGTAAACGATCAAAGTTGTGGATATTTATTGATTGCTTGTGTGAGGAGAATAGATAATTCTGAGTGGAGAATAATTTATTCTTGTGTGGTAAATATTTGAATACTTATGTGTGGAGAGCAGTTTATTACTTAGATCTTTGGAAAATATGTGATTACCTGTGTGTGAAGAATGTATGATCAATTATGTGTGGAAAAAAGTGTTATTCATGGATGATCAGTAATCTTCTACTTCTTCTTCGTGGTCACCAGCTGTAAACTCTGGCAGAAAGCTCTGGTTGTTCATCCACTTCTGGACAGCAGCCCTGTTCCAGAACCTATGTGTTGCATGTCTATTCTTATTTTCCGTATAATAGGGTCCTGGAACCCACACGGGGATGATCAGTAATGTATTACTTGTGAAGAGCTGAATGAGTTGAGTAAAGAATTGACATCACAGCACTCGGGGCATTCCCATATGCGCTCTGTGCCCATCTTCAGCAGCCAGAGCAGAGTTCCAATACTAATGGTACCAGTCGTACTTGTGAACAGTTGATTGCTGGTGTGTGGAGAGAAGTTGATTTATTGTGTATGGGGAATACACAATCACTTGTGTGTGGAGAACTGATTACCTGTGTAAAGGGAATGCTTCATTACTTGTGTATGGAGAGTAACTTGTATGTGTTGTACTGAATTAAGTCGTGGTTGCATCCTAACATGAGTCTCTGAGGTTGTGAAAATACTGATTAGTTTTACACAACCTGCTATTGTCTAAACTTGGAAAAGAGAAGGAGAGATCCGTGGTACAATCACTTTAGAGCTGGCGCTTTATTACCAGGTCAGGTACAAAGTCTCTTCACCTTCCTCATTCTGATCGGTGTTAGCCATTTTCATGGATTAGATCTACTGAAAACTGCCATACTCAACAGTTGAAACTCAGTTCAAGAGACTTTGTGTAGGATGTGAGGCCCCGTTTTTTTTTGTTTTTTTTTTTTGGGGGGGGGGGGAATATAGACTGCCTATTCTTTGTACATTTTCCAGGGCTCTATTTTGGAGAACAAAGAACAGTCACTGCCTCCCCCCCCCCCCCCCCCCCCTAACAAACATGTCATAGGAAGCAACTAATTAGGGTTGTTTCCTTCAAAGTAGAGTGCATCTACCTGAGAGACAAGGAACTAAGATATGTGCACACAAAGCTCAAGTTCTGGATCTGATGTTTGTGAAAAGTTGTCTTCGAGCCCTTGTCTCTTATAAAACATCTGGACTGCTCTTTTTGACTGTATGAGGAATTCTAAAGATTTTTCTGTAAAATCACTTCTCTGAGGCTCAAGAAATTATTTATTTCAACAAAAAGACATGATTCAGACAGGCAGTTGTGTTTGATTGTTGTTGACTTTGTACTTCACTTATAAAGGATTCACTTATTTGCTTCATTTGTGTAATTGTTACTGAAGGTTGTACCTGATGAGATACAGTGAAATATACCAGTCAATAAATTGTGCAATCTATTGTTTGTGTCTTCTTTGTTTAAACTTGTACATATGTTTGTCAATTTTACTTGAGTATTTTTATCTGACTGAGCTGGATTTAGTTGAATCAAGAAACAATAACACAGCACTTGGGAAATTCCCATACATGCTCTGTTGTCATCTTCAGCAGCCAGAACAGAGTTCAAAATCCTATGACATCAAAAGCAGTCTAATTATAATTATATGTCTGCCTTGCGTTTTCTCTCAGTTTTACAGTATTGGCCACTGTAAACTAGCTGCCATTTTTTTTAGTGACAGGAAAGCTTGTATGTCTAAAGACTATTGATGACCCAGATGCAAAATAACAGCTAGCCGAATGTGTATATGTGTGTGTGTTTGTTTGTAAGTGTGTGTTTTACTGAATAGCACATGTGTGCTTTTGTTTGAATTAAGGTGATAACCATTGTTTACATGTATTTATTAACAAATTACAAAATTTGCTTATCACAATGTTCAAAAAATGAACATTTATCATCATATCATCATTTCTCCTGTGATGATAAATTTAAAACCAGAAAACAGATTCTTCTTCTTCTTCTTTGCGTTTCATATGCTCAGATCAGACCATCAGGTAGGTTGCCTCTATGAACTGGCATGTCAGCTGCAAGTCCTGCATGGTTCCCCATAGCTTGCTCTGCACACTTTGCTCTTGAAGCCAGGTGTCTTCTCGAAGTTGCAGGTGGAGTGGGCAGGTCAGCAGAATGTGCTGAGGTGTTTGGGGTCCTGTTTGACAGGCACACTGTACAATCTTTATTTTATGCATGTGGTAGTTTAGCCTGCAGTGTCCTGTTCGTAGAGAAAACAGATTCAAGCTAGCAAAAACTATTTAACTTTTCTTTTTTTTTTCAATATGCAGTGGGTTAAAAAGAAAAAAACTCTTGTGTTTTAAATGGAACAGACTTTTACATATGGTTGTGAATCTTGGACATTTAGTAAACAGGCTAAAAATATCTTTGGTCTCAGAGATCTTGTTTTACAGGAGAATCTTCTTCTTCTTCAGCGTTCTGAGCCCTTGAGGTTCATTGCTTCAGATATCACCCACCTCCTCGCATCTCTTTGGTTGGCCTTCTCTTTCCAGCTAGTGACACCAAGTGTTTTTGGATCTGTCTGGGCATTATCTCTCCATCATCTTCTTGGTCAGCCTCGTGGTCTACAACCATTCAGCTCCCTTGTGTATACAGTTTTTACCTCTCTGTCATTTGACATTCTCTCAATATGCCCAAGCCATTTCAGTCTATTAGCTCTCATGAGCCAGTGGTCAGTGGTGATTTGAACAGAATATGAATTTTGTCGTAGCTTCTCACTCTCAATTCCCCACTGTTTGCATCTTTGATGGGTCCAAAGATTTGTCGTTATACTTGTTTTCAAAAATTTGTAATAAGGCTTCATCTCTTTTAATTGTGCTCCAAGTTTGAGAGCCATATAAGATGATTGGTCTTATCAACGTTTTATACATTTTAATCTTGGTGTTGTGAGATGGAGACTTTGACTTCAGCCTATGTTGAAGGGTATAGTATACTTTACTTCCAGACTGTATTCTAGATTGTATTTCTTCTCTCAGCACGTTGGAGCAGTTGAAGTTTGCATCCAAATACTTATATGTTTCCCTTTATTCGATTTTCATATTATTGGCTTGTATATGGAGGAAGTTTATATCTTTTCCCTATCTTGTTATTATCATGTATTCTGTCTTATCTTGACAAACAACTAGGCCCATTTTTGCAGTCTCTAGTTCATTTTCTTCAATGATATCAATGTCATCTTCATAACCAAGTATTCTTGTAGTTTCTCCTAAAATACACTCTTGTTTCAATTTCCTTATAATTCTCTCCAGGGAGAAAAATATTACAGGAAAATACTGAAGATTATTTGGATAGCCACAATCAATAATCAAAATATTCTGAAACAGGCTAAGATTCAAAGACATTGTTTCACAAAGATCAGAACGAGACAATCATCATGTTTGAAGTAAGCATTGGAGAAGCCAGACTTCTTTAGTATACTGTGACTAAATGTAAAAAAGTAAGAGAACATATTATACAATGGCTGAGGTTCTTCTTCTTCTGTGTTTACCCTTAAAACAGAGGTGGGCAGGTTTTTTGTGTGTGTGTGATTTACAACTGGCTGTTCCCCGTTTGGGTTCTAGGGTCCCATTGTGGGGGAAAACAAGAATAGACTCACTGCCTCCCCAACAATCCTGTCGTAGGAGTCAACTAACTGGGAACTTCCTTCAAAGTCAGAGTGCATCTGCCCGAACAGCAAGGAACAAACAACTGCACACAAATAATCCAGTAAAATGGATGTACATGCAAAACTCAGGCCCAAATGGATGAACAATCATGACTTTCTGTTGGAGTTTACAGACAGGAATAAAGAAGAATAAAAACTAGGCTATGTTATCAGTACCTTTTGGCCCAACACATAAGATTTCAGGGAATTCTTCATTAGTTTTCTCTTCTGAATGTTTGTTGAGAAACAGTATGTCTATTATTCTTCTCCCTAAAATGGGGTCTTGGAATCAACACAAGAGGGCGGTATTCAATTTAGAGCGGCAGTCATACATTTTGCACTGTTTATGACTGAAGGACTAAAAGAAAAAAGGAACATTATTATTTACTACTAATCCTTCTATTTGTGAAAAAACTGTAGTTGAACACATTTTGAGCAACCTATAAAATACAGGAATGTTCAATTACCTGTGTAGAAGTTTGTAGTGGTTGTTTGGGAAGTACAAGTGGCGAAGAAGGGAACTGGTCCCCTCAGCTTATTATGTGACCTACTATATATTAATGCCTACTATTTTACAAAATGTGGAACTGACTATATGCCTTTAAAAAAATTAACAGGCATTTTGTTCCTGGGCTGAAGTAGTAGTAATTCAAACAACAATATCCTGTTCATCCTATCCAAGTTTAAATAGGGACATATATAGTTTTTTTTATGGACACTTCCGGGGCCCTATTATAAAGAAAACAAGAATAGACCCACTGCCTACCCAAAAGCATGTTGTAAGAGTCGACTAATTGGGAGCTTCCTTCAAAGTCAGAGTGCATCTGCCTGAGAGGCAAGGAGCCAACAGTATGCATACAAATTAGTCAGATCTGTAAAACCGATGTACACGCAACACTTAGGTTCTGGAACAGGACTTCAGTCCAGAAGTGGATGAACACCAGAACTTTCCGCCGGAGTTTACAGCTGGTGAACGCTAAGAAGAAAGAAGTATTATTATGTATATGTCTTGCGTAGGTTTCGACAGTGGTACTGAGCACTGACAGTAAGAAAGCAACAGCAAACTACTGAATGTAAAATTTGCCTAGAAAACCACAACAGTAAAAAAATGCTGGTGTTGGTTCTGCAATGTCCTGTAAAGGATAACATGATATACAGATGTCTTCTGCTATAGTGAAATAAGCCACTCCAAGTTGTAGTCTTAATAACTTCTTATGGCAAGGGACTGGTAGTTCGCCTGTTATAATTTTTTTAGTTGGAATGTTTCAAGCTTCCATTCCACATCCCTGTCCATTTTTCTTTTTTTTTTAATTACTGATTTAAAATCGTCCTTGCGTATAGCTACATATATTTGTATAATTATTTGTTCTGCCTTTTTCACCTCTCTCTCTGCCCTTTTATTCGCTTCAGTTCTGACTTATGCTGGTACCTGCATAATTAGAATTTAGCATTATAATGATAATCATTATTTTCTGGACTGAACTAAAAACGTATTTTAAATTCTTTGATATTCAGTGGCTTGTTGCGTTTATTATTACAACGTCCTAACGATGTGTTACTAATAATATTAGCTATTATGAGATAACTTCTATTTGACAGTCAAACGTTAACATATACTTACTGTACTGAAAGCAGGAGTCTTTAAAATGACGAGAACACAATTTTATTTTATCTGGGTTGAAATTCTTATCACTTCGATTTATTATCCGTATCATTTGCTCTCTCCATTCTTTGTTTTTATCCTCTTTTGGTAGCGAATGGAAAGTTAGGCCTTTGCATCGTCTGGAATCAGCAGTACAGCCAAGTATTGCACAGTTTTGAACCATTTTAGACCACTGAAGGAATCTGATGCTCCACACAAACACCTACAACGTAGTTCTTCAAGGGACCGGAAGTTGGGAAACCCTAAGACCAGGCCCTAGACCCGGCAGTGTTTCGTGACCTGTCGGCTGGTGTTTTTGGTGTGATTAATTTACACTTTTGATACTTTACAGATATTATTTAATTAATTCAATCCAAGAAAGTTTTTAATTTAAAAACAAATTATTATTTTGAACTGAACTAATTTCTAAAATAACACTGCCAGAAAGGAGTTATTATACTGGGTATATAATTCGTTTTTATTTTCTATTCCAGTAATTGATCCTTAATCCGTCAGTTATTCAGGCGATGCCATGCTTTGACACAGAGATCGATCGCATCAGGTGGCACCGTAAGTAGATGGCATAAACAGCTATATAAAATACAATTGTAACTTCTGATCTGACATCCCGAAGCTATTAGATTAAGGACGGCATTTCGAAAACGTGCACTATTCTTAGAAAATTTACCATACGGGAGTGCAATTATGTTTTGATTGTTTAATACGGCAAAGCTTATTAATTAATGGGTAGGAGTATAGACTGTCAAACTCAAATTTATAGTTGAGTAAAAGTAACAACTGGAGCAATGTGGGATAGTATAACAATAAGGTATGGTAGGCAGTTGAGAAAAAAATTGGTGCTTTAATAATATCCTACCCCCAAACAGGGGAAATCTACAAGTCATGGGACTGTCTAATATTTCAGGGGGTGGTAGATAGGCTGCATGCTGTCGTGGGACCTAGGCTGCACTCTCTCGTTGGACGTAGGTGGGCTGGAGGTTAGGGCCAGTTCTAGATGTTTTGGGGTCGTTAAACGGACCATAAAGCTGGAAAAGCCAATCTTAACACCCTCTGAAATGTTGGACTGTCCTGTGACGATATCTGGGGTAGGATATTAATAAAGAACAAAAAGGTATAGTATTAGTTTGTGGTCCCCCCCCCCACCCCAACCCCTTTTCCCCCTCCCAGACCAGTAGTTCTCAACTTGTGGGTCGAACGACTCTTTCACATGGATCACCAAAGACCATCGAAAAACACACATTCCCTGAAATTATGAAGTAGCAACGAAAATAATTGTATGGTTGGTGGTCGCCCCAACATGAGGAACTGTATTTAAGGGTCGCTGCATTAGGGAGGTTGAGAGGCACTGCCCTCGACAAAGCATAAGACGCAACCAATGAGGTTCCGACTCAACAATGCAGGTTGACTGCAATGGGTCCCCAGCATGCTTTGTCTTTCGCCCTGGACGTAAACTTCAGGCCACTGTTCGTCCATTACTTGATGTAATACTCTCACTTGTATCGCCGTCTGTCTTTTGCCTCTATATGAATATTATATCCTTCGAAATACGTTACTTGTCTATTTAAAAAAAAAAAAAAACTATATTACTATATTTATAATATACTATTTTTACTCATCTCAACAGGTAGCAGGTCCTTTGCAGAACGTCGCTCTCATCACAGTCTGCCTGAAAGAAACTCAGTCTCTCGCCAGTTCTCCCGCCTCATGCACTTTCACACTCAAGGAGTCGCTTATATCCTGTGCCCATCTTCGTGTCGGTCGGCCCCTGCTCCTCCTTCCTGGTACCATGCCTTCTGCTATAATTTTTTCCAATCCGTCGTGGCGTTTGATATGACCAAAATATTTCAGCTTTCGAGAAAGGGTGCTGTTTATTAGCCAATCTTCCTTGATGTTTAGATCTTTTAAGATGTCAATATTTCTCATCTTCTTTGTCCAAGATATTCAGAGAATCTTTCTATAGCATTTCAGCTCAAAAGCCCCTATTCTGTTTACTATATATATATTTACTATATATCCCAATTAAATTCTAAAGGTGGAACAGAATATGTTTTGAAATAATTACTATTACTACTATTTTTTTTTCCAGCAACGTCCTATCTATCTATCTTCTTTTACCCCACCAGAACATCACACAAGCGATGAACAACCGATGACACAAAGTGCCACAGTGTGGATGAGGATCACCCGTGGATAGATCCCAAAAACCGATTTTAGCCATTAGTCCATATTTATGGTAGGGCTATATTGCAGCCATTGGCAAGAGCCAGAGTAGGGCTTCTAATAACGAAAAATTTCATCACACGATGGATTGACAAGACAATACAAACTAGCAACGTCCTTTTCGTTGCTGGTCTCTTCAGAGCTTCTTTATTTAATTGTTTTTGTTGATATGAAATACGACTATTCACGTCTCCAGAGATTTTTCTACGGCTTTATTCGTTGTTTGGGTTTCCGCACCATGCAGCTGGGTTAAGTGTATCTAACTTTTGACAATACTCATTTTTAATGTTTTGTTTATCTCTCTCGTTTTCAGTAGTTTTTAAAGGCTGTTGAACATGTTTGTATCAGGTTCCTATTATAAGAGTCACTATCATCATCATAAACCACTTCTGCCGTTAAGCCACGTGGGGAGGAATAATTTGCGATCCAGTGCACGTTGGCTGCCACTGGCTTTTGTCGTGCCGTGAAGGCGTAGAGTGTCTTTAATGTTGTCGATCCAGGTTTACCGCGGCCACCCTCTTGTAGCTGATCTTCTGAGATGTAGTGCTTGTGGTGGTATTTGATCTTGCTGCATTCTAACGAGTATGCCAAACCACTTGTTCTGCTGTTTCTCGATGAATCTGGTACAAGGTGTCGTTAACCACAATTTGCCTGATAGTTTCATTATTCACTCGATCTTGAATGGTTATGTTGGCTGCTTTTCTCAGGCACCTCATCTCGCAGGTGGTGATTTTGCGTATATGGGCTTTAGATAATGTCCATGTTTGGCACTGGTTGCTTAAAATGAATGTTGAAATAAATATGCTATTAATAATCTGTCTCTTTGCACTCATAGTTATGCTTGTGTGTCTTAATAATGGAGACAATTGGTGTATAAATGCACTTGCTTTCTGACATCTGGTTTCTATTTCTCTGTCGATTCTACCATCTTCTGTGATCATACTTCCTAGAAATTTAAACTCCCTAACTTGATTCAGAGCAGAATCATTCAGCTGTATGTGAAGTGAGGCAAGGGTTCTACTAACTTGCATTGTTTCGGTTTTGTTTACATTAATCTTCATGTTGTATTTACTGCATGCTGAGTTTAACCTGTTAATGTGGTCTTACAGTCTAACTTCTTCAGGGTAGAACAAGCACTGGTCGTCAGCAAAAAGTAGTTCTTTAAATGTGGGTGAATCGATAACTTCTTCTGAAGTGTGTACTTCCTTATGATTAAAAAGGCCTATGTTGTCTGTATCAGAACTTGCTTCTTTAGATATTCTGCCCATATAGATGTTAAATAAAAGCGGGGAGAGCACACATCCCTGTCTCACACCTGTGTTGACTGTGAACATATCTGATATGCCTTCTTGTGTTCTTTTTGCACTTTGGCTTGTGTGGTACATGGCTATGATGTTCTCTAGTAGCTGTCCTTGTACCCCGTAGCTCTCAAGAACAGACCACAGTTTGTTTATTTCCACTCTATCAAAAGCCTTTTCCTGATCTACAAAAACATTATTTTGTTTAGTATTATACCAAATAGCTTTATAAGAGTAAGACATGAAATAGGACACAAGACATGCTCAGATGTTTTTCTTCTCCACGAGCTGTAAACTCCGGTGGAAAGTTCTGTATATTCGTCCACTTCTAAACTTTAGACTTGCTTTAGTCTCCGTTTTGGATTGGATTGGCTTTTTACCCCACCAGAACATCCAGAAAGCGATAAACACCCGATGCACGTACACCATGCGGATCCGTTTTACAGATCCGGCTTATTTATATCCAGAACAGTTGGTTCCTCACCTCTCACATAAAAGAACTCCGATTTTGAAGGAAAACATCCCGTATTAATCGACTCTACGACATGCGTGTTAGGGTTAGTGGGTATACCCCCTCCCCCCCCCCCCCACAGATATTCAGGTGTGTGAATACAAGTATGCTGATAGATTTGCTACTGCCGCGCCTCTGGGCGGTGATCTACTTTGTGATAAAGCTTACGCGTGATAAAAAGCTCTTTGAAATCAAATGGACAGGGGTAATAGAACAGGCAGAGAATCCATACACTGAAAGACTTATTCAACTCTGAGGAGGAAACAGGCGGACTTTTAATCAGGTTGCGACTGGTATTATAGCATGTCGACTCTACGTTATGTACTGAAGAAGGGGACAGAGAACCTGTGGAAATGTCACAAATGCAGTGATGACAATTCCTGATTCATTTGTTCATTCATTTACCTACAACAGAATTGTTGACGCCTCAGCGTCCACACGCGGAACAAGCCAAGATGGTCTTGAACATGCCCAATTGGGAAAGAGAACATAACTCGAAATAAATACTTTCAGCCGCACACTTCACCATACTAAACCAGTATCACCCATAGCATCAGCCACCACACATTGTCTAACTGTCCCTTCGTGGCCGATTTTCGATAACTAGATACTTGACACCGATTCGCTAGATATTCGGCTGAGTCAGTCTTGACTAGTTATCTTAGTCGGCGTTATATTTGGGTTTTAGCAGCCCGTTTGTACTCACCATTAGCAAAGCGATTGTCCTGAGAACTGTTGGGAAAGCACCCTTGGTGTTCTTTTCAGGATACTTAAAAAGGCTTGCCTACTCTTCATGGATCTAGCTATCGATTGCCGTCCGATTAGTACCGCCTTGCTAGACACATCTACATCTACTATGGCCCATGGTAAACCCAGTCAGCAGAAACAGCGACCAAACCGCATCACCCGTTCAACACCAGCGAACGAAGAAACCCCTTCCAACGTGCCACTGACTTCACCAGAGCAGATGAGGCCGGCACTAGAAGATGGCCCAGTCGAGGTGCAAGCACCAGCTGAAGTGGTCTCAACCCAGAAACCAGCCGCACAGATCCAGACGGCTGCCAAGTCCAGATGCAGCCCCTGTCGAGGCGCAGTCACCTGTTCAGAAGATGCCAAGAATGAAGCCGCACCTGT